GTCAGTATAACTGCTGTGTGAAGAACAGACTGAAAGAAGACCAGCCAAGAGCTTAGGGCAGTGCAAGATACTGGGAGAAAAGATGAGAAGGGGAAAAATTCAGGTAGAGCCATTACGATTTGTTGATGAATTGGTATGATGTATGGGAAAAAGAAAGAAGTCAAGGATTTCTCCGTGGTTTGTGGCTCAAGTACTTGGGTCCTGTCACCCATGTGAGATAATGTGAGATACTAGGATATAGTTCCTTGGCCCTGGCATTGCTTTGTCCTAGCCCAGACCTAGCTGTTGGGACCATTTGGATAGTGAATCAGCAGATGCATCTTTCTCTCTGTCACTCTGTCTTTCAAATAAACAATAAATTAATCTTTAAAAAGTTCCCTTTTTCATTGGTCAGCAAAGGTTTCATTGAGGCAGCAATGATCTGGTGTCTTGGGATGCTCTGGAATTCATGGCCATTGATCATCATCAGCTAATTAGAACTACTGTAGCAAAATTTCAGTATTCAACCATGAAATTTCCTAGGCAAGTGCTGCTGGCAAGTGGAGAATTTTCCTCTGGTATGGGCTGGGAATTGGGGAAGATCTGCAAAGGAGAATAAAGAGGACCTGCTACTGGGGATGGAGGGAGCCAAGGACCATGTGGCAACCAAAACATGAGGAGTCCAAGAAGCAGGGAGGGGCCGGTGGGGGGACATGCTGCTGGGAGGGCCACTAAGATCAGGACTGAGACTTGCCCGCTGTTTCTGCAGCCTGTGAGCCCTGGCGACTATGACCTGGAGAAGCTGAGACAGTCTTGACTTCATTAAGAGAAAGTGGGAGATAGAATGTGGAGAGGAGCAGGGACAAATCCTTGAAGAGATTTATCTGTAGATGGAAGCAGAGTTAATAGGGCAATGGCTGAAGAGGTCAGAGACTTCTTTCTCCTCTTTAAGTTGGTACATGTTTGCTGCAGTTGAGATTGACTTGTTAGAGGTGGAAAACTGTTGGTGCAGGAGAAAGGGGAGACAGCTATCACAGAAGATCCCTCAAGAAGGAACAAGATTAACACCTAAGTGGAGAGGCTGACACTGCTTAAGGGTGTAGACAGCTTTTATCCTTTAAAACAGGAAAGAAGAAAGTGGGTAGGTAGGTTTATCTGTAAGTGGGCGGATAGGTTTGCTTTTTTTTTTTTTTTGTCGGTGAAATATGAAGCAAGGTTATTCTCTGAGAATGTTGAGGGATGAGGGAATGGGAGGCTTGAGGAGGAGGAAGAGTAAGTTTTAAGATGGTTGTGCTGGAAAGAGGGGGCTGGATTGAGTGGGTCGTGGAGTGCAGCAGAATTCCTGCATGGTCCCTGGGGTCTTGTTGAGGTTTCTGGCTGTGACATGTGACTTGCTGGCCTCACTGTGTATTCCTCCTGCTCTCCTCTCCCAGGACTACATGCAGCTGCTTCACATTTGTGCAGGGGGAAGCTGGCAGAGGAGTTGGCATTGTGTACATGGGAATAATTATAGAGATGGACTCTGAAATCTAAGCTGAGGACACTCGGGGTGATTCAGTGCAGGTGTGGTGTTGTCCCTTTGCCTGTACACCCTGTAGTGCCTAGAAAGGGCTCAGGAAATCACTGTAAATACATAAACAGTCCTACTGGGAGCCAGCCAATAATGCCCTCAGTCCTGGTGCATTTCTTTTCTCTTTTTCTTTTTTCTCTCAGGCCATCGTTGATCTGCCCACTGGGTTACCTGGAAGCTCCTGCATCTGTTTCCTCCCATCTGTCTCTTCCAGGTCCAAGCTTCGCCCTACTTTCACCTTTGCCCCATAAGTCAGAACGGAGTGCCAAAAGACAAGCCTTTCTCTTGCTAACTGGATTTCTTCTCATGGCATGGCTTCTCCTGATGCTGGAGAACCTGCTTCCCACTAGGAGTGAGGGTGGAGAAGGATGAGGAGTGGAAGGGAACAGAGTGCCTCTTCACTCTGCACTTGTGAAATGTGCTTCTTCTCTATACCCTACCTTTAAGTATGTTCTGTCAGCACTGATTAGCATTCATTTCAGTCCTTCCAATTTTGGCAGAAAATTTTATTGGTTTTCTTGGTGTTTGTCGTTTTGGATTTGGAAACCCAATCTTTTGGTTGACCCCTCTGTTAGTCTCCTCAACCAACTAATCACTCTACCTACCCTTCTCTGAGGACCACACTGGGGATCTGTGAGGCCAGAATTCTTGCAGCTCCTCTAGGAGCAGGATAAAATTCCACTTCCTGTATTGTCTTCAACCATAAAGATGCCCAGTGACCTGTTAGCATTTTGGGATATAAAATGTTTTAAGCTTATGTCTTTAAGGATCACCCCCAGGGATGTCTGCATCCCCTTGCTGGGTCATGCTTTGACCCTCATAGACCTTTCTTTTGTATGCTTTCAGGTGTGTGTGTGTAAATAAAATCCCTGAAATATTACCTGGCCTCCATCCAGGTGAAAAGTCAGCTGGCTTCCTGTGCCCACTCATGGATTCATAAGTGCTTCCTGAAGTCTAACCCCATCTGCTTGGTTCTTCACATCCAGGAAGTCATCTGCCATTCTGTGCCCACTCACAGCTTCATAAGTGTTTCCTGAAGCCTAACCCCATCCGCCTTGCCTCTCACATCCAGGAAGAAGTTAATACCATTCCCAAACTGAATGGTTAACAAAAATGACATCACTCGGAAATAAGGAATATAGCTTCAGTTTTGTCTTCCTGTTACTTCAGAATTACTTAAAATTGAGCTAAGGTGATGACTCAGACATAGAAATGCCAATTTTTATTCACATGGGTATATTGTGGGGCCGGGGAGGGGAGTAGAGGCTTGCTTGTCAGGGTCTTCCAGTCCCTTGTCAATGTTGCCTTTTTCTGGAGCATGCACAGTGGTGCCAGCCAACCGTAGCCGTTGCCTTATGGAGCCTTGCAAGACCCCAAAGAGCACTGAGAACCACCCTGCACCAGTTTGTGGGCACCCCTGTAGGGTGCTGGAAGGAGCAGATGCTGTAGCTTTGGGGTGATCTGGTCTGTTGACTCTCTCATCTCGTACCTGCTGCTGTGACTGCCATCAAGACATCTGACCTCTTTAAACCTCGGTTTCTTCAGCTGCAAAATGAGGTCAAAGAATAGTACTTATTCACAGAGTTATTATAAGAAGTAAGTGAAATCACACATTTAAAGCACTTAGCACAGTGCCTGGCCCATATGTACTTAATACATATTAAAAAATCTGATAAACTTCACCTAGTTTAAAAAAATCCAAGTCATCTTGGCATTCACCCTCTTGAGCCCCATTGCCCATCTCTAAAACAGAGCTAATGTAGGGGTGAAATGAGATGGCATTTCTCTGCAAACTCACTAGTGTAGCTTCTGGGCTCTTTCAGTGCATTTCAAAAGCTCTGAGCCATTTTGTAAAAATGCTACAGAAAAATGTATCTGGTGCCAAGCAACTGAATCCTAATCTCTGTAGGTAAGAGGGGGAGGGAAGTTAAAAGCTCTTTTTGGGTGTCCAAGGAGCTAGCACTTCCTACTACACTCAATTGAAGGTAGATACATGAACATTTTTATTTTCTCTTTTTTGGGGGAAAGAGACTGTAGAGTGCCCATCTAGTTCCAGTGGCACATCATCTTGTGTTCAGCTTTAACCAAATGCAGCACCTGTAGAGAAAACAATAAGGGGTCAAAAGGCTAGGCGGGGCAGCCAGGCCAGAGATTTTCTTAGTGTGTGAAGTGGAGTTCATTGTAAAATGGAATTGGAGGTAGGAGGCTAGGACCTGGAGGCGTGTGGGCTAGGAGTGCTGTGGAAGGAACTGCTGCCAAGCAATAGGCTGGAAAAAACACTTCTGCTGACCCTGTGTCCTTCCCTTCTTTTTCTTCTTCCTCCACTTCCTTTTCAGAGTCACTCGAAAGAGACTCACTCGGGGTAGAACATGGTCTTTTGTTCTCAGGCAAGGTTGGACTCAGCTTCTGTTTCCATAACTTGGCCCTCTGAATCTCAGTTGTTGCATCCACCTAATGGAGATGCTAATTCCTGTCTCAGAGAGTCATTGTGCATACGATGTAACATTATGTGGATCAAGAGCTCAGCAACCTGCCCCTTGGAAACTGCAGAAGAAACTCTCATTCCCTTCCTTTCCTCTTCTCAGCACTGCACTCAATATTGTTACACATCTATCTACTAAACAGAACACATTCACAGATTCCTCCTTCTTTAACAGGAAAAGCTTTGTCTGCCATGAAAACATTAGCAAATAGTGATTGAGTTGGGGATTTTCTGGGAAGAACTATGTAAGAGCATGCAGTGTGGGCTCATTTGATTTGTAGATATAGTATAATGACTTTTCAACACACAAAATCCACTTGAGGTTCTGTTAAGGAAGGGAATAATACAGCTTTGCTCCTTTTTTTTCTCAACCCTTCTTTCTCTCATGCAAATCAGAAACATTAATCATTTGTGGCTCTCTAGACTCTTGGATATGGGAAAACCCATCACCTCGCCTTTTTCCTCCTGAAAATAGCATAATAGTCAGTACTCATAACTTCTGAATGCAGTTTCAACCCTCTCATTGATAAGGCAATAACCCAAGCAAACAACATTAGATGAAGTTACAAGTCTGAATATAAAGCAGAGATGGAGATATTATTTGGACAAGATGAATTGAAGTTCTCTATAAAGTTGCACAAATTCTTATAGACAAAATAGACATTGAATAGAGCTGTTAGACTAAGCCATTAAGTGGTCTGGCTTCTAGTTCATCTTCCAGAGATTCTCAGCATGGCCTTGGCCACAGTGTTAGATCTTCTTAGATCTGGCTGCCGTTAGTGTAAAATGGGCATCAAGGTCCTGAGGTTAACTCTACCGACTAATGGCTCAGCCCTCTTTTCCATCATCTTTCCAATGAAAGTCATGAAAGCCCCTTGTGAGCTTTCTTTATGACTGAAACTGAATGACAGCTGGAAGACATATCTTAGGCACACGGGTCAGTGTTTTCTTCTTTGTTTTTATGTCCAGGTCCCAGCTCGTTGGAATCACCAACAAACAGGCCTTCTCCTCCTCCTGACTATTTCTCATGGAATCTGACCTGGATAATGAAAGATTCCTTCCCTTTCCTGTCCCATCGCAGCCGATATGGTAAGTACATTTTTGATAGTTATTTCTGATATGCCATCACTATGTCACCATCAAGGAAGCTGTGAGTTTCAGCTTTGAGATAAATGGTACTCCAGGGCTCCATCGGACCCCTGCATAAAAAGAATCATGCTGTGCTGTGTCCCAGTGGTGCCTCACTCCACCAGACCATTCCACCTAGACCAGTCCCACTGCACACTATAGCCTGGAGGAAGCCAAGAGATTTGTTTCTGCTGTATCTGTTCCCCCAGCCTTTATGGTATATGATATTTGCTGCATCCCTTTATCAATAATTAGGTGTGTTGCTTATTTGCATTTTGCATAAGGTTCTAGCCAACAGTGTTTCTAACAGTAGTGATCTTTTAAAAGAGGATTGTTGTGAGAGTCACAAGTCTTCCAGTGTCCCTTAAATGGCCGCCTCCCATCTACATGGTTCTCCTTAAAGTTTCTCAAACATGTTCTTCAATGTTATTTCAGTGCATTTGATTTCTACAACAGCCTCAGAGGTAGAGAGAACAGGTCCCATTCCATTTTTACAGCTGTAGAAACTGAGTTTAGTACGATCATGCAGAGTGGGTTATCTAGCTACAAAGCCAGAATTCTTGCCCTGGATTCAGTTTTGCTCTCAGGAGGCCACCTGTTCAGCCTGGCAGCTCTTGTCCTGGGAGCCCTCAGAAGGTCATAATCATATGGTGTTGGAATAATTGTCAGTGCTCATCTTAACAGCTCCTAGCAGCCATGCCTCTGCAGTGGAAAGAGTAGGTTTGGAGGAAAGTGGATGCATTTCCAAGAGAACAATTTTATTTCCTTTTTTTAAAAAGATTTATTTTATTTATTTGAAAGACAGAGTTACAGAGAGAGATAGAGACAGAGAGAGAGGTCTTCCATCTGCAGGTTCACTCCCCAGATGGCTGTAACGGCCAGAGCTGCGCCTATCTGAAGCCAGGAGCTGCTTCCAAGTCTCCCACATGGGTGCAGGGGCCCAAGGATTTGGCCCATCTTGTACTACTTTCTCAGGCCATAGCAGAGAACTAGATTGGAAGAGGAGCAGCTGGGACTAGAACTGGTGCCCATATGGGATGCCGGTGCTTCAGGCCAGGGTTTTAACCTGCTGCGCCACAGTGCCGGCCCCCAGTTTTCTTTCTTTTGAACTCATCCAGGATCTATCCCAGGAGGGAGGTAACCTGTGCATTGGCCACCACTTGATCCCATCCCATGGAAGACACTCAGAAAGATACCTTTGTGATGAGTGAATGCAAAAAGCCTCTAAAGATGGAATGTTCTCATCAAGCCTGATTCAATTAAGTATTTATGATCCCAATCCAGCACAGAGTTCTAGATTCCCTCTGGGTGTGTATTAACCTCCTCCTGCTATTCAGTGCGTGCTCTTGGGCCTGAGTTATTCAGAACGTATCTAATAGAGATGTTCCATTCAAGGTAGAAAAGTTCCCAACCCAAAGCCTGCTATCCTTCATCTATGGTTAGTCTTGGTTCATATTAATGGTACCTTTCATTTCAAACTTGAAAGTATAAATGCATAAAAAACCCTGGGGCAGTTAGAAATATACTTTGTGCTGTGATGTTCTCTGCCACTCGTAAACATCACCAGTGGGAAAGAAGAATCCGTGGTTCCCAGGAGATCTCCGATAAGAAGTACTTCTTGATTTTATGTAAGCCAGGCACTGAGTGTCATCTTATGATAAGAGCAAGTGTCTGTAAATAATTGAAATCTGGTCTTTTGTGTTTTTAATGCTTTGTAACCAGATTTGTGATACAACTGGTCTTCAGATAGCATTTTTGAATTTGCTCTTAAAAGTCATTCAGTATCTCCACAAGAGAACAACATTTATAAAATGCAGGAAGTCCCAAAATGTAGGTCTACTTCTTGTGTGTTGCACAGAACAACATACTTGTTCCCTGTGAACTGCCTTCAGAGAGGCTGTAGGTTGAAAGGAGACAACCCCTGGAGCTTAGGAAGCTTCTGCCTACCCACAGCATGGCCCTGTACACCCACTCCCCCTCTCTGGGCCAGGCGGCCCTCATCTGTCAAATGAGTGAGGAGTGATGTGCCCTAGAACAAAGGAGCAGATCTGGATGGTTCTTAAGATCCCTTTCACAGTCTCCTTGTGGCCTGGAATCCCCATGGTTTCCCTTCTTGGTGGTGGTGAGGACTCACACCGTTGGCCTTTTGTGGCCCAAATGCTGGATGAAGGTGCCAAAGTCAGCACCATCATTGCTGATTCATGGGGAACAGAACTGACTCCTGATTGGTGGCCCCTTGACTGGGTGTGATGGCAATTCTTTTTACCTTCCTGCCACAGGTAATTCAGCTGAGTCTGATGAAGAACCCACTCACCCCAACCCTCCAACCACCACCACCTCTGTGCCTGTCCCAGTGCCAAATGCCAAAGATAAAACAAATACAAGACTTGATCCTGCCTACTCAGAGCGCAGAGGCCATAGAAATACTGCTAGAGGAAGCCAGGTCGATTTCCATGAAGAGTGTTCCCCGTGGGCTGACCTCAGAGCATAGATGTTAAGGACTGTCACTGGGACCCAATGCAGGGCAAATGAAGGCAGAGTTAAGGGCAAGATTGATCCTCTTAAGGATGCTTGTGGGGACTCAGCCCGCATGTCCATGAACCAAAGAGACCAGCAGGCCCATGGGTGATAAATCTATACCTTTCAGCTGCCGAGAAAGACATTTTTTTTTTTTGTTTTTATTATTGACAGGCAGAGTGGACAGTGAGAGAGAGACAGAGAGAGAAAGGTCTTCCTTTTGCCGTTGGTTCACCCTCCAATGGCCGCCGCTGCAGCCGGCGCACCGCGCTGATCCTGGCAGGAGCCAGGAGCCAGGTGCTTTTCCTGGTCTCCCATGGGGTGCAGGGCCCAAGCACCTGGGCCATCCTCCACTGCACTCCCTGGCCATAGCAGAGAGCTGGCCTGGAAGAGGGGCTACCGGGACAGAATCCGGCACCCCAACCGGGACTAGAACCCGGTGTGCCGGCGCCGCAAGGTGGAGGATTAGCCTATTGAGCCACGGCGCCGGCTGAGAAAGACATTTTAAGAAATGTTAACAACTTCATTAATTTTAAGACCTCAAACTTGGGCAGAGAAATTTGACTGGAAAATCACTGCCTGCAGGGATAGTTTTTCAGACAGTGTGGAGTCACGCGTCTCGGCAGGACCATCCTGGAGCTTCCTGCTCGGCTGCCTGGCTTCACCTGCATTCTGGTGGGGGCAGGAGGAAGGGCAATGAAAGTAGGCATCGGCAGCCCGACCACAGGCATTGTGATGGGCAGTGGGGGCCGGTGCCCCTCACACAAGCTGTCCGGTCTTGAATTGAATGTGGCTTTTTTCTTACCAGTGTTTTATGAGAAGAGACGAGGTGGAGAGAGGCTAATAAGATTTACTCACCCCCAGCCTGTAATTATCTGCTTGAGGAAAAAGTTTGACCTACCTTTTTGAAATCTCCCCATATTTCTTCTAATTTACGTTGGGGCCTTTCATGTTGTGTAAAATATATTCTCTTCAGTGGCAGTCAGTATCAGATTACATCTCTTTTCTCGTTTCTGTCTTCAACGATGAGCGCCCACTAATTTCATCACGAGCGAGCAGTGCATTCCTCCCCCAAGACTTTGCAAGGGGGAGGGCATCTAAAGGAAGATTGCTGTTTGTTTTTCCTTTTGTCATCAGCCCTGACATCTGTAGACTTCCTCACAGGCTTGGCTAAAGGATTAGGCTCTAACAGCTGAGATGAAAGTCTGTCCTGTCAGCACCCTGTGCTGAGGGATGGAGGTCCCCGGGGCTTCTGAAAGTCAGCGACACTCACCTTGAGTTCTAGAGCCAGGGACAGATGGCGTCTTCCAAATTCTCATTCATATTGTCCCACTCTGGGTACAGGGAGAACCAAATCACCATTTTAAAAAGAATGGCCAGAAGTTCTGCCCAAGAAGAGCAGGGGAAAGAGAATTTTCATTGCTTTTTTTTTTTTTTTCAAATGTGATACTTTGTAAAAACCTTTTTACATGCCCTTTTCTCATTTAGGTTGCATTAAAAAATTGTAGTGGATGGAAATTATTTTATATCTCATTTTTGCAGAAATGTAAATTGAGGGGAAAAAGAATTTGTTAATGTGCTCTCAAGTTGTAGAGCAGGTGAGCAATTAGAAAACAGTGAGCCCAGACTTTCTGACTCCAGCTGGAGCACTCTCACTGTCATATCACGCAGTGATTTCAAAGATGAGCTCCTCTCTGGTGAACACTCTCACTTCTTGGATGACCTTGTGTTGGGTCTGAATGATCAGTCTAGGGGTGTAAGACCTTGAGTAGCTATAGGACCAAAAACTGATGTCTTTAAACTGAGAGTCTCCCACTCCAGGCAATTCATCTCTTCCTAAACATGGGTTATAGATACCTTGCTACCATAAGTAGTCTTGCCTTCTCTTCCATCCTTTCTTCCCCACTTCAGAATATGAGCCATGCTGTGGATTGAATTATATCTCCCAAAAACATATTTTAAAGCCCTAACCCAAACCCCTATACCTATGAACCTGAGATTATTTAGAAATAGAATTTTTGCAGAAATACTCAAGTAAAAATTAGGCCATACTGGATCAGGGTGGACCCTAATTCAGTATGACTGGTCCTTTTAAGAAGAGAAAATGGGGGCCAGCATTGTGGCATAGTGGGTAAAGTCGCTGCCTGCTATGCTGGCATCCAACATGGGCACTGATTTGTGTCCTGGTGGCTCCACTTCTGATCCAGCTCCCTGCTAATGTGCCTGGTAAAGCAGTTGAGGATGGCCCAGGTATTTGGGGCCCTAAACCCATGGGAAAGACCAAGTAGAAACTCCTGGCTCCTGGCTTTGGCCTAGTTATCCCTGGCCATTGTGGCCACTTGAGGAGTGAACCAGGAGATGGAAGATCTCTCTCTCTCTCTCCCCCTCTCACTCTCCCTCTCCCTCTCTCTCCCACTCTCGCTCTCTCTCTTTCTCTCTCCCTG